TTTCAGAACTCTTCATTAAATTCACTTCTCGATCCAATGGCTTATAAATAATTTTAGAAGACCTTGGTTTTTATTTCACATGCTGTAAATCAAATAATATATGCACATTTCCCTTTCAAAAACTAGAGTTCTATTTTTCAAAATCAAGTTTAAATTTCAAATATCTTAAACATTTGAGCCTTTGGAAATGAATTGGATTTGATTTGCTGGATTTCAAAACTCCATAAAAATCCTTGGAAACAGATATACAGAGCAGGGTCCAGAAAATGATAAACCGAGCTCCTATCCACACTAGTCACTAAAATGTTTACTACTGTGAAGGGGACGTACTGTGCTACAAAATGTACTTCCCTTTGCAAAAACGTTAATTGCTGTGATGGAGAAATTTCAGACATACTGTACTATGGCTGAACAACGTATTCAAGAAGTGATCTAAATCAAATATAAAGTCTTTGTAAAAACTCTAAATAAATTAAGACCAATTTGAATTAACTATTTCTCCAAAATGAATTATATCACGACGACTTTCCACCACTTTTTTCAAACATTCTTCAAAATAAATCAAAGAGCAGGATTTTGACCTCATACCATCTTTTTTCTTTTGAAAATGCGGAGCGCAGAAATTTCTTAATCTTGTGATTGGTCATCTACAAAATTACTTTGTGAAAAAATCATTCTGAGATTACACTCAAGTACGTACATCTTTTGAGACAAGAATCTGTTGGAATTTCGATAGGTACCCATATGCTCCTTTATCACCTGTTATATATATATATATATATATATATATATATATATATATTTCTTTATTCTTATGAAGCAGAATTTATCAATTTTTTTATCCATGTATGGCAAGCTTTGTACATTTAATACTTTAAAATATTTTTTACGGTTAAGCACTACATTTCCTTTCCTTTAACATAACTACTAATCAATCTTGATTTCCACACTTTTAAGGTCTGCAAAAAGGTAATATAAAATACACACACACAGATATTCGATCAGACAGACCTTTAATTATTTTTTTTAAGATTTGCATTGAGAAAAAAGGATATGTTTTGAAAGAATTGGTATAAAACTTGAAAGCAGTATAGAAAATAAGATTGACAAATAGAGTTAATTTTTTAATGGAAAAATTTTGTTCTTGATGCAACAATCCTACACTGACATTGGAAAATTTATGTTACAAATTATTTTTGAAAATTAATAAAATTTAGATATGATGCCATATTTTTTTTAATTTTCTCAAATATTAGAACATTCCCGAAGGTTTTATATCTAGAAACACATTAAAGTAAACCTCGTTGAATAACATAAACTGATAAAGGATGGATTTATCGATTTTAAATATAAAATTATTTTGATTTTATTTTTGATTGCATAAGCTGCCTAATACTTTATGTTTATGTTTATGTTCCTTATTTTATTTAATTGACTGACAAAGGAACACTAACCGTGTAAGTTTAATATTATAAATCCTTGACGACGCAGAGATCACTATTTTTTTTTCTTGGAATGAAAATAAACATTTCATTTTTTTTTAAAAAGAATAATCATATTACCAATGTATAAATTATGCTAATCATTTTTATTTTAAAATTCTTGAGCTTTAATATGCCAATTTTTTGTGACAATTGAAGAATCACATGAGCATTATATCATTTCTTTTATTTGCTGATGATATAGTTAATTCTTTCATTCAGATTGAAGTTTTTCCAAAACAGTAAGAACCAATCTGTTTACATGCTGAAGTATTTGGCAATCAAAGCTGCAATTTGAGAATTGATCATGTTTTCAACGGCATATTGCCCATCTCTCCTGTTAAATTGTCCTCAAATTCACTTCTTAATTAAAGGGGTAATAAAAACAATTCTTCCTGCACACATAATTTATTTATGTATAAGCCATTCATATTAGGCCATTATTTACACACTGAATTGCCGACGTATTTTTCCGTTATTTCCCTACCATGACAAGGAGCACACGGCAGGTGTGACCGGTCGGCAGGGGATATTCACTCCTCCATGGCACCTGATCCCACCTCTGATGTCTTCAAGGTCCGTGTTTGCTCTGCTCTTATTTTGTAGTGTTTAATGGACTTTTAAGCTCGAATGCTGTCCGGTATCTCCACATGTTTCATGTATGCTACTTTTTATTTGAATTCTTAAATCTACCTAAGACTTGTACTTACAAAATGGAGGTTTAGTTTTTTTTTCATTTCAAAGGATGGGATTCTTCAGAATCACGTCTCAATTTTAAATATCTCAAATATTCAAGTCAACAGAAATAAATTCGATCAATTGAATTTGAAAAAAAAAATTCCAGAAATCCTTGCACTGATACATTTTAGGGTTCATTAATATTATTGTTCATCTTTCAACACTTATCCGCTTAATTTTCATCAACCACTTTGTTTTTGAAAGAAAATATATAAGAAATACCTTTCTTCCAAATATTTTTGTAGTTGTATTCCTATTTAAAAGTTAGCAATTTCCCCTCTCTGAATATAATCTGCAATGAGAAACTTGAATTATGCCTTTTTAAATGGAATCTGTATATAGAAATCTTGAAAAGATATTTGATCATTTAAGGTATTGTTTGTTTGCGTTAAAAAATCAATTAAGTACAAATCATTGGCTACAAATAAATAAAGCTTTATATACAATATCGATATTTTTCTACCAAAATAGCTTAAGATTATAAACCTGATGACAGAACTGTATTAAAAAATGAAAGGAAAACCACATATTGTATGAAAACTAATTTACTATAGATTTTAGCATTCTAAACAGTTATCTAAGGGAAAAAATCTGGAGGGTTTAGTATTTCTCAACCGTAATAAAGATCGCTTTCATGGTTGCTGACTTTAAGTTCATGGAATCTGTATCCTTCATCCCGAAACAGATTTTCAATGCAGATTATATTTTCAGCGTGAAAAAGTCTTTCGTGACTGTTTTTCAAATGAATATTTTAATTTTTCTATATAATGAGAAAAAAGATATATAAAGGGTACGTATGAAAATCTTAACTTCACTGGCTTCTGTAGAGCTTAAAGGTCCGCCATCATGAAGGTAAGCTTTTGTATCTTGTTCTTTTCTTATTAACTTACATCATTTAAACAATTAAATCGTTCTTCTGAAAGAAATTGACGGTGTACGTATTTATGAACAAAATGTTACTTAACTAACGTAGTTTGTAAAATTAAATTCGTAATATTCAACTGTCAAAGGAAAGCAAACCGTATGTTTACCAAGAAAAAAAATAATACTTTTTTAAACTTTAAAAATGTTCCATAAAAAGTTGAAAATGTTTTTGTTTCTGTTATCTTGAGTGCGAAATATATATTTGTTGTACTTTATCCCATAATGACAAACTCGTATCCATACATTGAAGTTTGGTTTTGTTTTCTCTTTATCCAGAATGTCCCTTCACTATTACTAGTTAGTATGTTTGTCTCAAGGTGCTTTTAATTTTATCATATTGATTTTGAATAATATAGTGAAAACCTTAATTTCAGTGCGCTTGGTTCTTTATTGCTACATTCCTATTTGGTGCTTATTTCACTCATGCTTCTGAGAGGAAATGTGATGAAATAAAATTTGGAAGAGGGACATATGACAAGAAAAAGGAATGCTGGAAGTCTGCGCCCACGAAACCAATTTTGAAGGTCAAGTCTGACGGTCAATCTTTGTCAATCAGGTCAGAATTCACTTCATTTAAATTAGTCCATATATGTCACATTCAGAAAAAAATAGTTGTAAACTTGCATTGCAAATATCCAATCTGCATTGATAGCACTCAAATGTTAAGCAAAGGCTTTTGATTTTATTATAAGATTAAATTTATGTTTGTGATGCGTATTAAATATTTTGTTATACTTATAGATTTCTTAAAATTGCATGTATCAAAAATGCGCTAAATGATCATAATACATGTATCTTAAGATATGAAGCTTTTTTGTCATCATGCTAATTTTCTGAGACCTTAATATTTCCTTTGGCGTATTAAAATTGCATTCTACTTATTATTTGATAAAAGTTTTGTTTGCAAATATATTTCTGAAAACCTGAAACGTTATCTAAGAAATGATTATAAGTTGCCCTGATATGATTTTGTTTAGTATTTATAATTGAAAACATTGAAATTTATATATGTGTGTTATTTTGAAGTTCAAATATTTTATAATAATTAAAATGTTTTGTTATACCAAAGAATTCAGTATTTATGTAGTTAATGTATGAAAATAAATATGCAATATATATATGTAATGCATATATTTATGGGATTAAGCTTTTTCTTCTTGATCTTCATCATACTGATTTTGAGAGAGAATTTCGCCGCGGTTTAAAATGAAATTCTACTTCTAATTTGATGAAATTTGAAGTTCATAAAACAGTCATATTTCCCAGTTTTATTTCCTTCAGCCCCACACCCAAAAATATTTACATTCAGTGTAATTTTCTCCATGAAATCCATTAGAAATCTACGACATTCAAATCTCTTGAACACACGCGAAACCTTGTCACCGCGCGGTAGAATACACAGTAGGAACTATATGCATTTTTAATATCTTAGGAACACCAAAATGTATATTGTTTTGACTCAATTTAATAATAATAAAAAAAACTACCCTGTTAAATTAACGTAAAATACAACAACTGTACGTTTCAAATGAATTTGTCATTTTTTTCTCGCAATGTTCATTTGTGTTATTTAACTTTCCAACGTCACAAACGGCCGTCATATCTATTAAGCACACCAGTTCTAAAAGGCGCTAAATTCATAATAAAGATTAACGAAATAAACAATGAAGAGAGAAAATTACAGAAGGTAAATATAAGCATTGAATTTTTATTTTGGATGTCGTCGGTCCTATAACACACCTGAGCGTGCCGACAAAGTATCATACCGCGCTAAGGTGCGGTATTCAATTTGTCGGCACGGTCAGGTGTGTTACAGGACCGCCAAAAAGAAGAATTCAGTGCTTAAATATATTTCAGGAGAAAGATTCAGAGTGCATTAAAATGCAGACCGGGAATAAAGAAGTTTCTTGATCAAGAATCGTGTGACTGCAATCCCAGGTAAATAGACTATTTAGTTCCCTTATATGTTACATTAATTGATAAAACTGCTTTATGATTTAATTTTGAACTATTCAGTGATAAAAAAAAAATCTTTCAGCAAATTGTCAAATATTGGACTGAAAAACGTCTGCCGACACAAGTTTGAGTACGTTACAAAGATAATCAAATATGGGAAAAAATGCTATGTTGTATTTCCACAACGGCAATGTATAACATACGCAGACTGTGACAGACAACGGTAAGTAGTAATAATACATATATTATCAGTCTCTGTTCTTTTGTGGTTTTTTTTTTTTTTTTTTTTTTTTTTTTTGGTTGTTGTTGTTGTTGTTTTTTTTTTTTTTTGGTAATATTTTGCATTTCTATGAGCAACATACTCTAATACATCACAGGGGTTGCGCAAAGGGACGGGGTGTAACAAGTGCCTGTTTGCCTGATCGACACCGTTACTTTAATGTCTGGGTATTCTGTCCTCACAATCATCGGTTTGAACTGGAAACCTTGGAGTTGCCCCAGTGTTGTACCTGCAGAGAATACAAACTCTGCAGAAGGCCAATAGGAGGGGTATAAACAGGATAGCATGTAATACAACTTTTGTAGCACCGACGAAGGCGAAGAAACAGGTGGTGGAATCTAGGGAGTTTCTACAAGAGCACTGCCTTTAAATATGCTACACAGTTTCTTTTGCTGTTTAGTTATCAAATAAAGTACCAACTTTTTATAAAAGAGTTCTTTTTGTGAACACCTGTTAAGCTGCTCCCCATATTCAAAGATAAATTAAATTAAAATCCTCCTTTTTGTTTAATTAAAAGGTTACTATAAACCTCTGTATATGTTTGCATAAAATGGCCATGTGTCAAAAGAAAGTTTCTGAAAAATTTGAATGTAATTTGAACAGAAACAAAGAATTTCATTTCCATCTCGATTTCAACCCACTGTGGAATAATTAAAATTCGTGGACCAATTTTCGTGGATCGCTAAAATTTTACGTATTCGTGCAGACGTAATTTTGTGTATTCACTGCATCTTTAAAAGGAAAAATTACTCTGAATCCCTTGTTTATAAATTCGTGGAGGGTGTAAATCCTCGGATGAAGGGAACCCAGGAGTTCCACTAATACTGAGTCACCACGAAATATAATGATTCCATAGTATATATCAATGATCATTGATGCAGGCAAATAATATATGCTCAGATTACACTCCATATCCCATCTTACATAAGATGACCAAAAACAAAACAAAAAGGAAAAAAAAAACATATAATAAATAAAAAACAGCAACAAAATCTTATTTTACTAAATTTTCAAAATGTTCATGTTTTTGTTGTTTTAATTTTTCATCACTTTTTCTAACATGGATTTGTATGCCTGCTGGAAAAAGTAAATTAATAGAAGCCAAGGGCATTTTTGTAAAAATATTACCTGGTGTATCGATGAGAATATCGGCTTGATAAAGTGTAGGCAAATATCAAAGAACAGAAATACATAGGTTTCAGTTCTTTACTGGCAAAGAAGTCAGTAGGTAAAAGATCAAATCTTCCAAGAAGCCTTTCTGGCTACACAAGTATTGGTCGTATTACCAACTTACTTCATAATTATGTACATTTTCAGATAAAATAAAAGTCCCCAGGTAAATGGCCAAATTTTCATGCCACCAATTTCCCTGTATATGACCCACTACTTGCAAAATTTAAAGGCAGTGATCACAATCTGTTATTATTTTTGTCAAAGGTTTAAAACTCAGACGGTTATTTTTACCATTTTTTATCACCAATCTACAGAATAACAAATGTTAATACAAACTGTATTCAATTGAAAGTAGACCTACCAACAAAAAATTTTAACTAGATGAAATCTCGTGCAAGAGCGTGGAATTGAATTTATCCCACTGCCGACAGAAAATATATTGTAGTTTCTACTGACAACCTACAGGCTTATAGCAGGAAGAAGTACTTTGTTCAAAATCCCGCATGAAGTAGATTTACGTCTCCACCCTCATTCCTCTTTTTGTAAAAAATTGAAAAATAATAATTTCATTAATTGACGTTTAATTGTGAAACCTGTTATACTAAGTTATGGATATTGTACTCAGATGCTCTTATTTCATTTCCGTCAAGGATAAAATCAGAGAGTATTACTGATAAATTGATTTTTTTTTGGGGGGGGGGGGTTTAAAAATTCACAAGTACTTGGGTCTTGGTTTATAGATATGTATGCCAGTTACCTAGTACTTCGGTACTAGCTTGAAAATACGGGATATATATTTAATTGCTGTGGTAAATCCTTCGACGTATTTGGCTCCAGTCTTTGGCTCCTTTTTTTAGCTCTTCCAAGTTTTTTTTATTTAAATATTTTTGATTTTCAACGTTTCGGCTTGAGCATCACTGAAGATACATATAATTTGTCGAAATGCGCATCTGGTGCATCAGAATTGGTATCGTATATGATTTATAATATGTATCAAATTGATATGTAAAAAATGTACATGTACTTTACTTTTTTTACATATCAATAAGGTACATACATATTTATAAACCAAGACCCAAGTACCATCTGTAAAAATTAGCTTTTAACGCCCTATGATTAGGCCGAGTATTTGATACAAAGGACTGTATTCAGAAAAAAAACCCTGTAATGTATTGACTAAAGCACAAATTTTTTCAGCTTTAATTGTATTTGAACAATACCTTATTCATTAATTTTTCTCTTTTCATGTAAGCAAGTTTATTACGAAATACAAATTATACTGCGGGTTTGTTGCCACGATGCTCTCAGTAAGGAATATATACAAATTTTACCCATAAATTTATTAGGAAACGTACTACATAATTATGTAATAGTCTTTCGATATATAAATATATTCACAACTTATAGTGTTATCAATGATTTACCATTGATTTACCATTATTTCAATTGTCGCCCGCGTGGCGAAGTGGTTAGAGCCGCGAAGTAAGGAGTTGATCCTTAAGTCGCGGGTTCGAATCAAACTGTGGGACGTGGAGACCGGTCCTTCGGATTAGACCGTATAAACCGAGGTCCCATGTCGCAGTAGGTGATCCCATGAAAAAGACCCCTCACTGCTCAATGGCCGTAAGTGCCGAGTATAGGACAAAATTTGCAGCTCTCCACCGGCAAGTAGTGGCGTTTCCATATGAGTGAAAAATTCTCGAGAGGGACGTTAAACAACATACAAACAAACAAACAAAACCATTATTTCAATGACCATTCACACAAAAGCTTTTTTATCTTCATGCAGCTATAATCGCTTCGTTTTCTTTTTTAACATCGGGCTCGATGTTATATGATGTTCTAGAAGCTTCTGTTAATATTAAGATCGGTGAATGATGAAAAAAATTTGCACATTTCCCTTTTTAATCGCTTATCACAACTTATTTCTTTTATACCATTTAAATGAAGTTTTGATTGAATAATTCAGTGATGACGTTTTATGAAATAAACAAACGATTGTTTGTTGTCGGTCTCATTATAAATAGCCAGTAACTTAGATCCGCCAACCGGAAATGCCACCGTACTCACGTTTTTGCTATTTTATGGCTGTTTAATGTACGATACTTACTATACGAGTGAAATCTAAATATAGTTTACGGACATCATCTTGTATCTAGTGTATTGTTAGAAGAGTAAGTAACAGCTCTGGTGCACCGGTTTCGGAGTTTATTTGCAAAATTTATTACTTTGTGAGTATAGATGCTTGTAATTTTCCTGGTATTTAACTTTGTTTCCAGAAGGCAAAGTTGTTAACAAAGGATTTGCAGCTAATTTAGAAGCATGACATTCCTATATATGGGTGGTTTGAAAGATTTGAAAGAAGAGTAAGGGAAATAAAATCGGTAAATGAATCACTAGGTTTTAGATACAACAATCTGTTTCTGCGTAATATTATTTTTACCCTAAAAGGAAACTGAGAAAAAAAAATAGTAGTGACTTTGAAGTGAATTGCAATTAAAAAAAAGTCATCAATTACTGAGCAGATTTTTGTCTGGCCCTAAAGTCTGATCATTCTGCATTATATATTAGTTCTAACAATATGTTTGGATCCTACAATACCAATTAAAGGTTTTCTAGAAGAAAAATTATCAATTTTTCCCATTTCAAAATGTTGAAAGAACTGTTATGTTTGCAATCCTGGATTTCATGGCAGACTACACAGAGTTTATTTTTGCAGTGAGATTCTTTTTGTTAATTCAGATTTGCATGCTGGATTCTATCATAAATTATATTGTCAATTATTACAAATAGAGCTGATATACTGTTATTATCCGGGAAAACATAAACACATTTTTAGCCTTAAAATTAACACAATTTAGTAATATCTAAAAACTGACATCCATCATCTCTACTTTTAGTTTTCTTTTATGAATATATAAGATAACTCTGAATAATTTAATTTTGTTTGTATTCTAACCTCTGATTGGTTAATATCCAAAAAGGAACACAAATTATTTCTGTATAACCTGGTTTAGTATGGGGACACACCCCCCTGACAACCAGCTGAATCATCTGTATCCATACAATCCTCTCATTTCCAGTCCTCGGGATTCATGGAAAATTCCAGATTTAATGAATGTACCACACAATAATTCGATCTTACCACGTGTAAACAAACAACAAGGCTGCTAGGCCTATGTATCAGTTTTTACCTCCCCTCGCTTCCCATCACTTCCGGTACTTCCGTTACTACGGTTGTATTATTGAGCGGCAAATTTGAACTAATAAAAAGCAACGAAATTTTACACCCATAGTTATTTGATGATTTTAAAATTAAATTATAAGGAATGACTCTAATTCTTGGCCAAATTATTCGCGTAGAACCTGGTTTGGGTCAGTTTACGCTGTTTTATAATCCGCTTCGCGGATTATAAAGCGTAAACTGACCCAAACCAGGTTATACGCGAATAATTTGGCCAAGAATTAGAGTCATTCCTAAATAAACCGATAAATCTGATGCATATTTTGTAAAAATTTTAAGATTTTAAATACTCTCCTTTACTCTTAAAGCCAGTAAAATGGTATTTCCTAGTGCGTGAAAATTACATATTTTATAGTTCAAAGTAACTTGGAACTTAGTCTTTGTCACAATTATAAATGTATCATTTTACATTGTAAGACTTATTTTGCGCCATTATTCATTCAAGTTTAAATAAATTCGAGGAAAAAGCGCAGAAAAGTTTATATGTAAATTCCAGTTGCAGGCTGAAATGTCATATCAAATACATCGAATGTCCAAAAGATGCAATTTGCTCCTTTTTGTTTTTTTTATTAACTTTTGTGTCCACATATTAAACAATCCTTTAGGAATTTAGCGGAACCCGACCTCCTTAAAAATGCCAACTATATATATTCGGGCCATGATTCACTATGCATTGGGAGATTTGTTTCATAGTAAACTTTCTTCGGGGAAAAGCTTGCTACACATATGTTGAATGGAATCAAAAAGAAAGTGTGCTGATATATGGCAATTATTCCTATGGGGAAGCTTTATTATATAGTAGATACATCCCGCGGAAAGATTTACTTTAAAGAAAAAACACGGCGAAAAGCCAGTTAAACAAAGTGATCAAATGGCTTCATGAAATTATAAAGCTATTTCCTTATTTATAGTTTTATTTTAGATAAAACATTTGAAAATTTTTATATTTGTAGTTTTTTCTGTGGTACGCAGATATATGATTCTATTAT